AGGTTAAACACCTTACTTAGCAGAATACTTGAAATTTTGCGGACACTTAAGATGTCACAAAGGTAAGATAGGAGAGCTATGGACTGAGAAGTGCGATGAGGCATTGAAAACGCTCAAACACGCCGTTTGACAATCTTCTGTAGTACAAGGGCCAGTCGATGGCATATCATTCAAAATAGCAACAGACGCCTCCGAAATAGCACTTGGAGAAGTACTATATCATGATATCGACAATAAACCTAGATATGCACAAATATTTATTCGAGCTATGAATGCATCACAGTTGAATTACCCAACTGTTAAACAAGAATTACTAGCTATTGCTACAGCTATACATACTTTAGAGATTACGCCGTAGAGATATTTTACTCTTTAATATATGAGAAAGATAAAGTCAGACCCTCAGTTACTGAGTAGATGGTATGACATAATATCCAAGTTCCCCTTCGATATAAGACATTTTCCTGGAATACAGAACCATTTACCGGATATGTGATCCAGGTTCGTACCAGACTATAATAAGTCAGTACGAGAGCTCTTGGCCACCGATTAAAAGTGTAATACACGATGGTTCGAGCTGGCTCAAAAGATATTTGGGCCACATACAATCGATATTTTTGCTGCAAATCATAATGCACAACCTATAGACGATATGACATTAAACTATCCTTTAGGTTCTTGCAAGCAGGAGGTAAGAATATGACGTTTATTGGGCTGTATCCCACTTAAAAACACTACCGCGGCCCGGTCTGCGAAGCCTGTAATATAGATTGACCGCCAGAAAGGATCAAAAGATTGGAAACCAACTCTTAAAGGTTCAATGGAGGTGGTCTATCGAACAATTTTTGAGTTCGCTATACAAGATTAGATGTGTTATAGTTTCTTCACGTCCGAAAAACACCACCGCGACGTCAAACAAAATAGCAAATTGACATTTCAGAGGCTGCAACTAAATTTTCATAGCAATGCATGTATATCAGTGACAAGGACAGAGAGAATACTCTGGCGTAGTTGACATTTGTGCGCCAAATTTACATGGTCCTGATATACTTTTGAGGCCATAATTAATCGCGACCATGTTGTCCATGTAATACTGCATGTCATGATGCTCGTTCTCCACAAACTCTTGGAGGCAACGTAGTTGATACTTAGTTGATAAATCTTGTCATCTGCATCCATATACGCTACTTCTTCGAATCAGGGTACAAGAGCAGTTGATAGTAGAAAGCTGCAAGATCACATACTGACTGTACCCAGAATGTCCAGCCGTGTCGCTGTCGAGGGGTAGAACATAGGGAAGCATTTACATCGTCTTATTTGTAAGGGTTTAGTTCGTTGGCATGCAATAGGCTTTCGCATGAACTGGCTGCTTTCGGGAAATTTTCCACAGTATGCAAATTTGTCTGGCCCACTTGCCGTATTCATCCCATTTCGCTGATACCCCAGACACATTAGAGCTCGGTGTTAAACTTTTTTCGTTTTCGCCGATTAGAGAAATGGATCCCTTGTGCGGTATACACGGCAAAGAAGTTGGGCTCTTTCTTTAATTTTTGCTTCACACCCACATCATTCATATATTTTAGGTGCTTCTCATCAAATGAAGGAATGCCGGTGCATTGGTCAAATCCACAATTACATTCAGCTTCTCGCAAAGTCGTATCCGGTTCATTATTTGGTAACTGGGCCCCAAAGACTAAAGAATTTCCTATGGTCACACCTTTCACATTTTTTTGGAATACAGTCGGATATAAGTCCACAACGTTAGTTCCCAAATAGATTGCCGACGCATTGTCCACTAGAACACGTCGAAGTAATGTAATATATGCCTGTTGCGAGAGTGTTGCTGTCACATATTCTCCAAAACCTTCGACAGTTTAAGGTTTCAGCAAATGTGTGACTCCTCATTGCTGGGTTTGTATATTACGGTATACACTTAACAGGTCTAAGCCATTCTCGGACCACATCTCCCTTGGTATATCCATACATAGAACTGACGTGTATGTTGCTGGGTTAACAATGATTAGGGGATGCCGCAGCAGCCACAACCAAGCTCGGGCAGTTTGTAAAGAGTGCCCCGTCTACGTATAAGTAAAACACATAAGGCAGAGCTTATCTTTGTGTCGCAAGCGGAACTCAGTACAAGTTAATTTGTTGTTCTGTTAACCTCTGTATTGTTCACGTTACTTAGAGCGTCGATGTTGGCCGTGGCAGTTATCAGTCATGTCTTGTTGATGTTATTGGTAATCAATCGATTGGCAGCACCCATGACTATGCCAGTTTTAGTTCCGTGAGTCAGGCTACGGTCTTGGCCAAGTATAAGCTGTTGTCGTGGTGGGGCTATATCAGCAGCTCTGTGTAGGCTGTTGATATAAAAGCACGCTGTGCTATGTGCAACTCATCCAGCTGATTCCACAGTTAAGGAAGATTCTTGTTGAAGACTGCAAATAGTGCCTCTCGGAGCTCAATTGTTGTCAGAGGACACATCGCTTGGTACTTAAATCAGCCTTATTCTCTGGATCCACTGCAATGTCAAAGTCAATGTACTCCTATTCGACCCAGACAATGATGTCTTGTTAGGGATAATATTCTCTTGTTAGGTCGTTTGTAAAGGAAACACACTCGGTGATGCCATCCGAGACTGCCCAACACGTATAACAAATGTTGAAAATACTTGACCATCGATAACAGGCAGTCTGCCACGGGGAAACCAGCAGATACGCTAAGGAAATAGATGAATTTGCTTTGATCTTGGGGTCGCCGGAGTTGGAGTTCTGTTCGTGAATACAAACTCATCATTGTAGATTTACACTTTATCACTGAGGCTGCGTACGACTATGGGTCCACGCAGCTGCCAGCCAATACCTCTTTGGGAACATTACAGACGGCCCACCAATTTGTAGCGAGTCTAGTGTATCTGTAACCGACTGCAGCTGGAGATCTATAAAGTTTAAATACGTACACATTATGCATACCAAGAGGTGCTTCAATACCAGTACAATGTGCAAGGTCCACATTGTGTGTGCTCCATTAGTCAGCTACCTCAAGCCCTATATGAGGGATGACTATTGTGGCATGCTGTTGCATATTTCCTAGACCTGGTGGGTGTTTGTACACGTCATTCCTGCCCTTAATATGAGCCGGTATAGCGGCAACAATGCTACTTTTTCCTATTGTTCAAATCCCATCGCTGGCGTCGCTGGTTAGGACAATCTTCCTGGGTTTCTGTGGCAGCACGTTTTCGAGGTTGTAGGTACCGAACATCAGGGAGTATTTCCCTCTCAGCGTCTGGAAAGAAAAGAGGCGTGGGTCTAACGCAGTCTGACTGGACGTGGGCTGCTGTTCGAATTGAAACGATTCATGAGCTCGTTTTGCGTCAGCTGCTTGGGCAAACAGGCTCCTCCACATTCCCGACGAAGTGGGACTATTCTTTTCTTAGATGTTAACATGGCATCCACTCGGGAGCGCTGACAATACCCTATATTTCGAGATGAAGATAAGCCATGGAGTATTCATGGAAATTCGCATAATGCTCGGGCTTGGTATGGCGAGCAGCGCTATCGTATTTTGCAATCAGCCAACGCTCTACAGCATTCTCTGCTCTCCCCGATGCCATAAGCCTGATTCGAATCAGCATAAGTAGATGTGTCACCTTTGCTGCCTCGGACGGCAATCGCGTATACTATTTTTATTTTTTGTATTTCAGCCCCCCACTCACGAATAAAGGGGATGATCAAACGGTTGCGGCGACCATAGTACATTGATGCTGTTTACACCATACTGTCTATGTCTTTCATTATACGTGTGATCACTATTGTGGTTCGTATTGTAAGAAAACATATTGAATTATTGTGTGTGTGTTGAAATCAAATCTAACTTGGATTGATCCCTATTATAGCGGTTAAGATAAAGAGGACTAGAGCTTTGTTGTAATAGACTGGACATCGTTTAGTATAGATTAGCTAAGCTAGATGTTCTGTCACATAAGACTAGTGTGCAAAGACTGGACTATCAGTCAGCTGTCTATTTCTATATAGTTCTGATTATTCCAGGGCCATAGCGAAGTACCATATGTGCTATATGACCTAAACTATACTAACAGTCTTGTCTAGCCCAGTCGGTGCAGGGCAGCGATAGTCCTACGAGTTCAGGCCTGGTGCACTACTGCTACTACAACATTTAGAAAGTTTAAATACGAAACAAATGACGTGCGTCAAACAAATACGTGAACACTAACTCATCTGTACAGGTAAGCACTTGAAACCAACATAGATAGGAAAGATACAAATAGGCCTCACTGTATCAGTTCTCCTCTAACGGAACATTACACCACTCGAAGGTTATCACGTAGCATTCTCCACATACTATGCGCGGTCAATTAAATGTTTGCAATACATCCCTGGTGTGGCAGACTATAACTGGGTTTCTGTGATAGTGTAATGGAGCAGTCTATGTCTCTCACCAACCATAGGTATCTCTCAACTCTATTCAAAATGCTTGACTACAAGCTACGATATACGGTAACACACCCAGAATAGAGAAAGTCGGAGTTATACATACCACAATAGTGTTCAATGGGACAAAGCAGGTCAACAACAAGACAATCGTATAAGTGCACTGTGGATCCACTTCTAGAACTAAGATTAGATTTCAAAATTTGTAAAATTGCGCCTAAGTAGATGAACTGTTCATGCACTGCATTTAATTGGCCACTACCTAAATTATTGTATACGATTCCCAAAACGCGACTGTGTAAGTAGGCGCTACATATCTGACGGGAGAGCTATCGACATCCAACAAAAATCGAAAGGATAATTGTGCCATATTGGGGACCAGTCTTGTATCCATTGTCACATGGAGACCCACACGGGGAAACCCGAATGATCACGTGCGATAAGCTATGTTGCCCACTTCTGTGCCAGTTATTGAAATTGAATTTGCCGCGCGACAATTGCGGACACTGTTTCTCAGCTGACAGCCTTGCAGATAAAAAGATTATTTGTAGATTCGTATTGTATGTTTTATTAAATCTATCGGCAATCGTATATTATATTATAGGAGTCCTTCGTGGCACTTTGTTTGGGCAACCGATGAGTGTACCAGGCGTCTTTTCCTATATTATATACTCCGGTGTAATAAGAGGCTGTTCGTAGCAGTATACTCTTGTAGGTTTAAACAAGTTTTGTGTGTAGGTGGGTGACGGAGATGAATATCATGTGTCCTTTTTTAAGCCATTTGACAGCTGCATGTGCTCCATCTCAAAGAGTGAAATCTGTGGTATTAATTTACCACATCATAGCAAAAAGACTTACGAAGGCGACAATAACAGTAGCGACGCTAAATGAGCTGGTAGACGAGGACGCCCCATTGAAAGTGAATTCGTCGGCACCGATGTTCGAGATGGCGTCTGCCTTGCTACCTGAGTACCGAATGAAATATTTATTGTCAATAGACTATTGCGATCTGTGTATCAGAACAGGATTGTTACAATGGAGACGTTCATTTCTAAAATGGTTTAAGGGACAATGCTGATGAGATCATGGAATTTATCGGTTTGATAGTGTCATGCGGAACAACAATACATGTAATGATGATTTATACAATCGCGCAATGTTGGACTGAAAAAACAACCACGTGTGTAGTCAAGCATCACATCAACAAGGAATTAGGCTTATGTATTGTTTGCTCTCAATGATACTTACGCTCGATCCCATCGTCGTTTACGTATTCGTTGGATTCACTGCCCACCGTCTTTCCCGTGGTCGGAGCTACTGGGCAAAAAAGTATTGAAGGAAAAGTATATCGGTAAATAACTCTCTAAGTCACATTCTTAAATGTAGCCACCATGCAAAAGGTAAAGGTGGCCCTTCAGTGAATAGTTCTTGTGCATAGCGACTCTTCCAATAGAAATAAAGGTGAAAAGCATTTTAATGAGCACCGTTTACCCCACTAGCCCACTATAATACACCCGGGTTGCACTAAAACACACACTATGATACACCTTAAAATACACACTATAATACACTTATATATTTTGACTAAGTCAAATTCTACATGTGCAAAATATGCAGAAACGCAATTCCATTTTAGTTGCCATGTTTGAGTAATATGCGCCTTTGATTTGCTAATCCCCAAAGTGTTCGCATACAGACTGTATCTCATATCTAACTTTCGGTAACAGCAGACCAGCGCATACCTTCATTCTCTCCGCTTCGAACTCCATTCTCAAGTCCATTGATGTTCTCCGCTGGAACTTCAGGCAACACAGCTGCGTCGGAGACAGTGGGTGTCGAGACAGTGGGTGTTTCGACTGTTGACAGAAGATTCAGCTCAACGATGTTCTTCTCAGGAGTGATCGCAAACGCGAGGGTGGTGTCGTTTCCATACCTGTATCGTGGAGGTATTGATTATGCTTCTCATAGAAAGATTGACAGACTGTGTGAATGTACATATCACATTTTAAAACAAATTAGAGTATATGATCTGTAGACATCAAGCTTCCAACAAGACATTCGAATAATAAAACAGGTAGAGAAACATACTCTTCCTTGGATAGCTGAGCATAGGACGAGGGATCCAACGATAGAAGCGGATGTTCCTTGCCGACCATTGTGACAACAGCCTGAGAAGTGAGAACAGGTGGTTGATGAGTAAATACTGACAGCACACAATAAAAAATCTGTTGATTATTAGAGATCGAAATCTGAACTTCTCTCGTGTAATCTAGGAGGTACTGGCGGAGCCAATGTCATGCTTCGATGTATCAGAACCGCGATCAAAAGCTATCGACGCTTTGAGACAAAGATTGCTTGTCTGCGAATCGATACGTTGGTGACAAAAGTGTTTACCTCGCACGTGTTGTTATTTGTAGTGCCGACGGTGATTCCCTGGGGCGTTCCATTGACAATCTTAACGAAGCCTTGCAACCCACAGGCATCTCTTGCCATTCTCTTGCGATACTCCTCAGCTGTAACATCCATTTTAGGCGATAGAACCGGCAATTCGTTGATGAACTCCTGCACAATACATTGCCGCAACGTGTCAGTAATATATATTTTAACTGGTGATATTTAATACCCAACAGTCAAACGCTTGAGATGCCGGAAAATCAATATCATGAGTGTACTTAAGTATTAAACCCGGTTCGGGCTGAAGAGGTAGAATGAGCTGTGAAATTAGTCAGACGATTGAAATTAAGAGCAAACAAAAGCTAGCAACCGAAACATACCATAACACCTTCGAGTACGAACTGAGCCCAGATACCAACTATAGGCATATTGTCCTGTCGGAAGAGCTGCGCATGCATGTTGGACTGGTGGAACACTGATATTGATAAAGCAATGGTAGAAATATTGTGTTAGTATAGTAATGTTGCTAGCGCAAATGTATAATAGCCTGGTGTAGCACTGTTTTGATGGAAATGGCGACAGTTGCCTTCGCCGAGTTGGCCTACCTAGAACCATATAAAGCATACACAAAACGATTCGAAGTGGGCAAACCAATCAGTGTTCATTTTTCGAGTTCCTTACAGAATTGCACTGAACTTACTGTATGCATCCTGACGGTATTGTATGAAGTTTAGCAACACGCTGAACGCCTCTCGTTCTAAAGCCTCAAGTCCTGTATACGGTGTCCGCTTACATGATGGGCCGTAGACAACCCAGCCACACACTCCTTCAGTGTTGTAGTAGTCAGCGAATTGCTCCAGATTATTGATATTGTAGTCGACATTAGGAGCCCTTGGAATCGGGAAAGAAACCACAGGGTTACTCTTTGTTTGAGACTGCAGGCAACAATATATCGCTGATCCGAGCGTGACAAACTTACAAGTGCGAGCTCTTAATACACGAACAAGGGAGCTCATTTTTCTCTTCTGTAAAGAGGTTAATTTTTAAAGTCAATGTACCACCTGGTAAACACAAACTCACATTCGAGGAATGATGATTACGTTATCCGATCCGTACGCATCTACGGTGGATAAGACTCCGTGGAACGGGTTCTGCAATAGTTGTTGTGAGTGATTGTCGGAGTGAATGTGGGGTCAGATGATGTCCATGGTTTCATCACGATTAATACGAAGATGTTGAGCCCATAGGCTCCGGGTTGAGAGAAAAAATGTCTTAAAAAAAAGAGTTCAAATGTGCTTATAAACCCACAATTGAAATGCAAACCGTCTCTGGCTATGAAATAGCAAAGGCCATTTCAATGCTTCCTCTAGGCATGCTTTTTACAAAACCCTGGTAACGGAACATGAGATTTCTCACAGCATACCTTGGATGTAAGCTCTTCTCGCGTGTTGTCACCCACAACAGCTCTAATCTCGAACTTGTCCAACATCTTGAAAAGCAACTCATTTTTAGGGTTGGGCTTTCGGTATTCAGTGTATGCACGAGGTATCGGAAACCAGTCCGGCCACAGTCCACTGATCTCTGGGGTTACGAGAGAATGACGGGACCATCTGTAGGACAAGTTGCACAAAAACATTTAGGTTAATTAAACTGAGCGCAAAATTATACTTCAGCGAATCGTGCGTAGACGGTAAGACATGCTTCTTCACTCCGAATAGCAAACACTTTAGGTCTGTAACTGTAACGTCGCTGAGTTCAATGAACGATATTACGTTCATGCAATGATGATTTATATTATTAAACTTACCGTTCCTCGCGTTCGTCGTTATTATTGAATAGAGACATGGCGGGTGTAGCATTACCAAAATCCTCCCATGGTGCTGCGTAGCTGGGACTACCCACGACCTGTGCATAAGTGGTAAAAATCCAACAATCTCAAAACGGTTTATTCTGATCATTTGTATGAAAAAATATATACTTGTGACTAGTAAAAAAATTCCACAATCTCAAAACGAATTACTCTGATCATTTGTCTGAAAAAGTATCTACTTCTGAGTGTATGTGCGCTCGCACCTACACTGTCAAAGGCATGCGAGATAGGCACTGGGCCACATCATCAATATTGAACTAGTTGTTGCTCTGCAAATCGTGAAGTACTATTGTACCAAAGTGTCGCTTCATTAGCATGTCTCATTGCTGCCTATATCATACTGCAGCAATATAGTATGTATCACAACAACGCAACACCGGCCCTGGACTACAAAGTCACAGAAACAACCCACTATAGCAATGACCTCGTATGACATATCTACTTTGTGCGTACCCTGTCTTCGACGACATCTATATTATATTGAAACTCGTGGATGTAGCGTGCCTCATCGGGGTGACATTCATTGGCTTGGCCATTGCAGTCGAATGTCTCTAACCAGTCCATATTCTGATGTGTCCATGTGTGGGACACCCAGTTGAATCTGTAGCGTGCGAGTGCGGTGTAAGACTCAATAAGCAACACAAAGCAGGAGCGTGGACATGCTATGATCACTGCGCTTCTATTTGAGAATTTTCCTGTGTTGTGGCAGTGAAAATATATGCATGTGTATCTTACATACAGATGTACGCTTGTATATCTTAAGTAAATATATATGCATGTGTATCTTGCATAAAGATGTCTGTATGTGTATCTTCAGTTAATATGTATGCTTGTGTATCGTAAGTAAGGATATATGCATGTGTATCTTGAGTAAAGGTGTATGTATGTGTATTGGCAGTAGAGAAGTATGCATGTGTATTGGAGGCCAATGTGGCCGTATGACTTACCGGCCAGCGTAGTGTTTCGAAGTCGACACAAGCCCGTTGTCTTCGAAGTCTACCATAGCAATACCAGCTGCACGAGTATTTGATAAAAGTGTACGTACTATTCAGATACTCAGTCGAGCAACTAGTTTGTGAGAGGTCTGCAACGATGTTTGTCACTAAAAACATTTTACTGTCAAACTCAGCAAAAATGTTCCGTTTCGTTGCGACAAGGGACCTACCTCCATTGAATGCAGGCTCGAATGTGACGTTAGAGCCCTGCAGATGTAGCGTAGTATGTACACCGTTAGCGAATTAATAGAAATAAAAAATGTCAGGTATGCAATGTTGTGCATTCTGCGAGATTCGACCAAAATTTACTCTGGGTACCAATCTGTACATACCTCTGGAAGGTTGGCCGTGATTTTAATTTGGTTTATCCATGCTATAGCGTGCTCAACATCCTGGATGGACCAATACAGACAAAATAAAAAAAGACGCACGTGTCAATAGGTACTAGAAGTTATTCTATCCGCACCATGATTAACAACCAATCGATAACATGGACTACTCTTAACTGATCTGCTGCAAGCTGAGTGTCCAACAATTGTCAACATACTTTTCCGGATAAGCGGAACGGGGTTGTTTCGCCGTACGAATCTGACGCGAGAAACCAGTCATCAATCTGCATCTGCAATGAAATACGACGCTTGCCCATGAACACTCCCCTAAACCATGGAGATAGTAAAAACATGAGTTAGCAACTAGTGATTGATCCCGGTATCAACATGCTTATCGAGAATACGTATGAGACAAGAAATATCTCTGCGTTTGCGAATAGAGTATCAAACGAAATCATACCTTGATGCCCAAGTAAACCACATGTTTGCCAGAGCCAGGTTGAAGAAGCTGTACTTGTCTGCGAGACTCTCCTCAGCACGCAACTCACTGTCAAGATCCACTTTGGTGGCATCAAAAGTGAAGCACATAACTTCGAGACCCTGAGTATATATACAGATACATGGTTTTGTGAGCTACTTGTAAAGGCGTCTTACCGGCATTGTCACAAATAAATTAATGTATGTATGCTCATGTATATACCTAAAATACATATCTGGGCAGAGATTATTATTAAAGCAAATATGCCATTCTGATGTCCAGGGCCATGCTTCGTTTATGTGGCTATCAGCTGTCCACCATGCATATGTTTATATATACACACACACTAACGAACGCTCAGCTACAGACAGAACATACATCCTTGTAATTTGTGATGTAGGCAGCAATAGGTCCATTGGCTACGGTCGTGCTACCGGCTGTATAGCGCATCATTGGAATAACACGATCAATTCGCGTGTCCAGATCTGGCATAATCTCAGCTCCGATTGGATCGATTTTGCTTGCGTCCCAGGCTCCTACAATATAAACAAACGATCGGTTCAGTAGAAGTGATGCAAAAGACGATTCTATTATGTCGAGTATGTTGAAGTTAGACAGAAATCATGCTACGTATCTAACGAGATGCACATACAATGTAGCTGGCAACTATGTCTCATTCCCATTCAGCTCGAAGAGACTAGCCCATTTTTATTCCCCACCCCCACCCCCCAAATGAGATTGTCTTAGCTAGGATGCAAAGTACTACAGGCCCCACATGAAGTTTTCAATAAAAGTACATAATGATTCGACTTACCTTTTGTATTCATAACATCACTGTAGTAGTCCATAATCGGTGCATCATCCATCACTATGTTCATGTTGTTGACTATATGTATTGGGAAAGTAAGATTATCGGGTGTAAGTGTATGAAGCTTGCCCAAATAAAATATCTCGTGACCCACACGGACCCTAGAGGAATAACAGACTTGAGACGAAAGCCCGGTGTCTTCCAACTAAGCTTCAAAATAGTAAGTATCTTCACCAATCAAACCACAGATGACGAAGCGTGCTGTGTGGAAAGCTAACAGATTGTCCCACGCTCGCATAGCTGCACTGCCAAACTGCCCCAGCGTGTCGTCCGCAAAGAATACTGTCTCACTACAATTTCACATACCGTTGGTGGTCGACGTTGTCAGACCATATTGCTCGAAGGCCTTGATCTGCAGCTTCACTACACGGACCTGTAGAAAAGTTGGGGTTTCGCTGTTGAATAGATCTTCAGTAAAATCTGTGTCCAGTATTCGAATTGTATCGCTGGAAAACAGCCGAGAGGATGCTAAAACTATAACGAGACATGAGGAACACGCCATACGATGAATCCCACGTAACAATCGCGCTCATTGATTTGTTTTTCCGCGCCATGAGTATGTACAGGTTTTATATTTCCATGGTACAAGGTATCATATAGGCTAAGAGATATTGTTGATGTTATTCTAAACCGATTCAAATTGATTGCACCTGTATGTCTTAATCGCTTTCTCAAAATTGTCCCGACCTACCTTATACTTAATCGCATAAGCATTAATCTTGACAAGATCAACGCCGCTCACTTCGTCGGTTAGCACTATCACATTGTACTTGGGGTCGGTGAACACTGGTGTTGCAGTGACCAGATCATACGGCGAACCTAACGAATTTAGAATGGACAGAGCGGACTTTGCCCTCTTTGTATCCGACGCGATGACCAACGTCTTCAGTCCCAAATAATAGGTTCCTTCTAATGGTGTAAAATTTGATGAGAATTTTGTTAGAACTGCAGCTTTTCCATAATAGCTTTCAAGTGCACTAAAGTATTGTTGTATGAGGTTACTAGCCAACAGCCATCTCCAATAGACAGCGGGGTTGATAAGGACACAATAACAGGCTGCATATCTTGATCAGTTATGCGATTCAAGGTAAACACTGTGCGGATTCAGATGTCACGACACCCACATTAGTCCATGTATAACTCGTCTACCTTGATCTACAGAACGCGCATGCATACATATACGTACGCCCTATGTAGACGCGTATTTCAATACATACTTAAGTATTTTGCATAGTTGCATATATATATATATATATACATATATACATCATTGTCTATATATGTATGCATATATTTGTGTTTATTTGTGTGTGTGATTATGCACATATACATAAATACATGGTATATACGTATATATATATTGTTATAGATGTTTGAGTGCGTGTGTGTGGGTTTATGTTTATGACTCCTGTTTACTTATGAGCCTGTATTTGAGAGTATCATTTCGTCTATAGAGAGTATGTGTTGTTGTGTATTTTTGTTTTTATCGATACTTACGACCACAATTGAATAATGGTACCAATGGATGTATATTTCTTTACATGTTCACACACGCCTATTGTAAAATTGAAGTGCAACTGCTTCAGCTCACTGTGTGCATATCTGAGGCACCCCACGTTTTATTTCGAAAGAATATACCGCCTCAATTCAAGAAAAAAATTATTTGCGGTATGAAGTATATCGCTAACACTTATTGCGCCGCACATGTTTACGTACCTGTGTCGACTACCGGTTCAAGATAGGCTACTCGAGGATCTACACTTGCAACAGTCGAGGCCAGTAAAGCGCACAGGCTTATGGCAAGCACTATGACATTTCGTAGCATGTTGGAAAGAGTTCGTTTCACCAGTCAATTCGCACTAGAGTGGGAATCAAGAGTGGTGTACATCCATCCTACAAGTACACTTTTTATACTTCTAAAACGCCCCAGACCAGAGAGAGAGGAACAGATAAATAAATGTTGGTGCCACAAAAAAAAGTCGATTTAGACGGACACTGGACAGACGCTTTGGGATCCTGGTTTGGTGGTATGTAGTCAAGGGTTCTTTTTATTTATTTTTTAAAAGTACGACGATCATGTCTAATATGCCGATATGGTTTGCGAAATAATGAAGTATGTAATGTGTATTTATGACTTCTGTAGATTCTATTTTGTTGTAGAAACGTTCGCAACCATAATCGAATATCATTCGCTCTCGCTCCAGCAACGGATAACGGAACCAATGTCAGCGAATTAGAATTGTTGAAGGTAAAACCTATCATCTCTGATGTCATCAGTGCGTATTGTGGTATGAAAGTATCGCTTCATTATGTGTATTTTACATGATGATGATGATGACTGATGGCGAGTCAGAGTCTCCACTCTCCAGAGACTCGGAGAGGCAGAGAGTCAGAGACTCGGAAACACGGAACTTTTAAGATAAAATAAGGAACTTTAAGAGTTTTGAAATGACTCAAATTCCAAAGTGTGTTCTAATTTTTGTTTCTACAAAATATGTTCAAAAATCCGTGGCCAGATGCCGGCTGGCTCTCACTAAAATATGTCATACAAAAAAAGGAAATCAGGTCGTATTTAAAAAAAAACGTATGTAGTACGTATGAAAATAAATTGAAAATTCAGCCAAACCTAAATTTAAAATTTAAAATCCGGGTATGTACAAATATAAAAATCAATTCATACCAAGACTCCAAAAACCAAGAGGGAAAGTAATTTTATTTGTTGTTATAAAAATAGATAAAATAGACGATCTTGCACTCTCGCAGTAAAATAGAGTAGAGCCACTCTACTACTAGTAGATACTAAAGAGAGAGAGAACATTATTTATTTATAGAATTTAAAGGGCCATCAAGATGGCCAATTGGCAATATATGAATTGATGGCATATTTCTTTCTGTAAATGGTTTTATTTAGCAGTAGGTTACGGAATATGACAATATGTACAATAAAAAAAAGCAAATACTCTCCAACTAACACGTCCGTATGTCCATTCACTCCATATCTATTTTTGTTTTTTCCTCTCTTTCAAAAAATTATAACTTCGCTTCCTTTTTTTCCACAAAAAGTAAAACAAAATAAGAGAATTCAGAAGGATTTATTTTTATGTTTTGATTCATAGCCTTCTAAATTATACATTTGATTCTTTTTGTTTGTTTTATTTTTTTTAGGGTTTTTAGAAAAACCATACATAGCCTCCTAAATTTAGCCTCCTAAAATTTAGGAGACTATGACAATAAATAAATACAATTTTTTGTTACTGTTCGGTTTGTTTTGTACAAAAATATAACAAAATATATTTTGGCGGGAAAACATTCGCGCGAAAACTCGATATTCCTGTTTTTTTTTAGGATGTTTTATGGCTGCTCACACAGTCCGGGGTGTTTAAAAATGAATTTGAAAAAAGAAGCACATACCAAAAAGATTTTCTTAAATATGAAATTTGATTGCATTTAAAACTTCAAATCCAAATCCCGTTTATGAGTGCGGCACTGTGACTGTGGCGGGCGGGCCAAGGCCCAAGGGCCCAAGCCCCTAATCGATGGTGAAAATGCAAAATATTTTGTGAAAATGAATATGGCAAATAATTTGCCAGTGTGAGACATTTTCATTGATTTGTC